AACGGAGCGACCGTTTCTTCAGCGATGCAGTGGATGACTCCAAAACAGTAACTCTAGCCAGTTACTGCTGTTTTGAAGACGTATTCGTTTCAATCAAGTTGAAACTTTCTGCGTTCTTGCCAAGCAGCAACAGAGAAGACACTTGTGGTGGACACGTTTTGGAAGGGTGCGGTCTGAACTATTCCGCCAAAAAAGTGCGGAAAGAGCCCGGCCATCCAACTGATGTTTGTCTTCAAAGCCATGCTCAGAGCAGGTTGGTTTTGCGCCAGGAGAGAGCTCAACGTCCTTGCTGGTGCTTGCACCTCCGAAAGAAGCAGTCAAACAGATCGTACAAGAGTGGAGGAATTTACGGGAAAGCATCTCCAGCAGATCCGAACAGGGTTCTCGAGCTGTGCAGATTTATGGTGTCGAGAGATGTGGGTGACAGTTCAGATTTTGTGGACCGTGCTAACTCTAAAACTCATGCACAAGATGGGCTTGCGCGTGCCTTGCAGGTTTTTTTGTGATCTTTGAGAATGGACCTATGTTGCAACATTCCTGGTCTCTGCATTGCTTCTGGTTGCATTTGCTTTCGGCTGGTTTTCGGTGCTTCCGACTACACCCCTCAAAGGTAGTCCAACACCACTTTTTGCATGTGGGATTTGAGAGGAGCAGTTTTCAACATCCAAAAACAAAATTCAACTTCATTCTGAAAGGAGCTTCATAAAGCAAAAACCCGAAATACAAGAGTTCCAGTGCAAATAGGCACAAAATGATCACAATTTCTTTCTTTTCTTGCGCAGCCACTCGACTCCATCCAACAGCACAGCCTTAAAACGCTGTAGTTTTCCTGAACGACAGCAACAATATTCAAAGCTGAAGCTATGAAAGCGAACAAATAAGGAGAGACACGCAACTGGAAAGACACGTCATGGTGCACACGTTTTCGAAGGTTTTTCGGCCTTGAACATGAGCCCGTCATCTGACAAAAAAGTCGACACAGGTCCAATTTCATAAGCGTTCTGTTAGTGCAGCCTGCAGTCGTCTTGCAAATGCGTGTGTGGCTTGCAAGGTGTCGAGTCGATTTTGATTGTGTGCGAGCAAATAGGGTGTGCAGCTGTGCGCTTGTGGTGTGAATGCATGTGCATGTCGTGTGCCAGCGTGTGTCAGCCAAGAATGCTCCCGAACCGCCCTGGGAAAAATGACTTGAAGCACGGTGGCAAAGCCAAGCTGCCGATTTACCAGAAACAATGCGGACCCCAGTTTGCGAATCGCCAAAATGAAGGGAAGAGCGACGCTGCGTTGTTAGAAAGTGTGCAACAAGAGTTCATGTGACTGAATGTGTTTGCTTGGTGTTTTCTCCTGATTCACGTGCTGTTGGAGTCCCGCACATGTCTGAGCCATCACGAGGGACCGATGAGATTCATAAGCTTTCTGTTAGTGCAGCCTGCGGAGTGGAATAAAGTTTTATGAGGCAGTCGGCAGTCTTGCAAATGCGTGTGTAGCTTGTCAGACGTCCCGAGTAGATCCTAGTTGTGTGCGGAGCAGGGTTTGGGTGAATAGCTGTGCGCTTATGGGTGAATGCATGTCGTGTACCAGCGTGTGTCAGGCCCAAGAATGCGTGTGGGTTTGACACATTGAACGTTAGCTCACTGTGAGCCGTTTTGCAGGACTTGACTTTGCTGAGTTTTTGACCCTCCCGAACCCGCCCTGGGAAAAATGACTTGGAGCACGGTGGCAAAGCCAAGCTGCCGATTTACCAGAAACAATGCGGACCCCAGTTTGCGAATGCGCCAAAATGAAGGGAAGAGCGACGCTGCGTTTGTTAGAAAGTGTGCAACAAGAGTTCATGTGACTGAATGTGTTTGCTTGGTGTTTTCTCCTGATTCACGTGCTGTTCGAGTCCCACACATGTCTGAGCCATCACGAGGGACCGATGAGATTCATAAGAGCGTTGGGGCACACCGCCAGCTCACAGAGCCATCTTGGCTCGTGCAGCAGTGGTTTCCCCTGAGCTGTGGACTCAGGGCATGGTAGGCTGTGGAGGCAGAAGGCAACCGACGCCCTGGGAGCGGCATGCCAAGTTTTTGCAGGAACGACACGTTGAAGATGACCCCGAGGCCAGGGTGTTTAGCGTTCAGTCTAGTGCTTCAGGGTTTTTAGGGTTCGGGGTTTGTTTTTTTGGTCGCGTGACGGCAATAACAGATGCGCCAGAATCAGTAGCAACAGCAACACAGCAGCAACACGAGTTGAACAGCAACAACAACAACAATAGTGCTAGATTTGTAACAGTGAAAGTTTTCGTTACAGTGTGAGCAGCAGCGGCAGCAGCAGCAGCACCAACAATAACAGTAAGGGTCAGTACTGGTAACTGCAACATCAGCAGTGAAAGTAATCGCAACAGTATCAGCAGCAGGATTGGCGTAGTATCAGTTGAAGCAGTGAGTAACCACAGTAACAGCGGGAACAGCGACAGTAGCAGCAGCAGCAGCAACAGCCGCAACCACAGCTGCAGTACCAGAACCAGCGCACATTTCGACATTGCGGCACTGTTGCCGCTCACTGATCTTCGCCCATCGCAGGCTTCCCACCACATTCATCACACACTACTCACCACCAAGCCGCCTATGTGCAGTTGCAAGTCCGCTGCCACCACTACACTTTGTTCAAAGTTTCACGGGCTTCTGAAGCTTCACACGTTGGGTTGTCGAGCTGTAGAACAGTTACTTGAGTAGTTATTTATATATATATATATACACACATGTTTTTTAAAATTTATGAAAGACATACATGCATACACGCATATATACCGGAATGCATATGCTTTTCTGCGTGTTTTGTGTGTTTCCCTTCGCACGAGTGCTGTGCTGCCAGGTTCCACAATTGCGCTTCCCCATGTACACAGTTCCTGCAGCAGCGATACTGGAGATGGTCGAAGTAAAGCCGCACGAGGAGACATCAGAAATGCAGATGTGCGAGAGTTTGTTTCGAAGTTGTCCCGGCAGCTCACCTTGATGCCTGAGCATCTAAGACTTCAATTCTGTAAGGGTCTTAAAGCCAGAACATGCGCGCTTCCTTAGGAGTTGCTGTCCAGCGGAGTGGTTGTGGAGCACGATGAGAGCAATGGGCACGTGGCTTTCGTCTCCCACCAATGGGTTGGGAAGGGCCATCCCGATCCAAGCTTCGAGCAGTTCAAACTCCTTCAGGAGGTTTTCAGGGATCTTCTGTCCCAGACGTCTTACGTCCACCTCGAGACGGTGACGTGCCTCATGTGGCCACTGAGATCTGGCTTCTATTCCCAAGCCTTGCAGAGCAGGCCTTTATTCGTGTGGTACGACTATTTCTCTGTTCCGCAGAGCCCGGCAGCAGCTGCGAAACAGCGTCAAACCATTGACTGCATCCCGGCCTTCATCGCCCGGTGTCGCTTCTTCTTTGCCCTCTGCCCAGTCATCGAAAGTGCCGCGCTTTCGGCAGTACTTTCGCCTTTCACGTGGGAGCAAAGAGGGTGGTGTAGACTAGAGCAGCCTGGATTCTGAGTAGATAGCTTTTGACCTTTCTTCGGTGTGCTGAGCCATGTTAAGACACGACCCAGGGACCAGGGAACAAACCTCAAAACCTCGAAGCTCTAAGCCCTGGTGCAAGGAAAGTTTGTCGTCAACTCACAGCTGGAGACGGGTCCTGGATCATGATCAAGAGCAGGAAGCACCTGGAGGTGATGCCCACGGTTTCGATTTCGGTCGGCAGTGTTAGTGTTGGCGAGGGCACCTTCACAGATTCCAAAGACCGTGATCAACTGGGACCAGTTTTGAAAACAGCTCTGAGGACCAAGTTGGTTTCTTTAATGAGGGATGGAAACATTGTGGCGTTTCGCACGCTGTTGAACATGCAGGCGTTTTTTCTCAGGGGCTTGAATGTAAAACCTGCTGCTGACCTGGTTCCCGGTGCTACGCTCGGTACAGATGTACATCCGGAGTGGCTTCTGGTGGATAGCTTCCTGTTGCAGAACGGTTTTCGGAAACTGGACGAAGTGGATGGCACTGGTTGGTCGCCCTTGGCATACGCCGTCCTCGGAGGAGATCCGGAGGTGATCCAGGCAATGCTACGGAAGAGGGCCGACCCCTCCACAAGGACTCGTGCCGCCAATGCTTTCCTCACTATTCCCGGAATCTTAGTAGCTGAGTAGGTAGCCTTTTACATTTTTTGGGGGGGACTGTATAGCCCTATCATCATTGTAAAGGTTCGGTCTCTTTTGACCCAGGCCACTCAGCAGCTGAGGAAATGCCTCCATGGTCAGCATCGCTGCTTTCTACAGCAACAACGAGGCTCTCCAGGCCAGCTAGCCCGAGAGAGCGGGGTGCTTCGGGCTTAGGGTTTCGGGCTTAGGGTTTCGGGGTTAGGGTTTAGGGTTCCTACTTGGAGGCCCGGGGGACTTA